GAGAGAGAGAGAGAGAGAGAGAGAGAGAGAGAGAGAGAGAGAGAGTGAGAGAGATCGAATTGAATGGAGGACAATCAACAGGCGCCTAAAAGTAGGCAACGAAAAAATGCGAATCGACGGCGAGTCGAGAACAAACGACGCGACGCGACGCGACGCGACGCAATTTAATTGAAATGTTTAAAATGCGACAATGCGGAAAACTGACGCACGCACGCACACACACGCACGGACACACACACACACGTGCTAGCACGGCCAGGACATATAAAAGGCGTAAGCCTTAAAAGCAAAATTTGCCACAGCCACAAGCAGCAGGAACAGAACGAGAATGAGAGAGAGAGAGAGAGAAGGAGTGTGACACAGAGAGAAAGGGAGAGTGAGAGCAAGATAGATAGATAGACACAGGAGCTAGACAGCGCTGGCAAGGACACAGTCCAAAAGTAGCGCAACTCTTGATGAGCATCACAAGTTACATGCTCCGATTGATGTCTTTGCTGTCAGCTGCATTGTTGTTGTTGTTGTTTGTTGTTTGTTGTTTGTTGCTCGTTGTTGTTGCCGTTTCCTTAAGCCATTTGCTTGCTGCAGCTAACTGTTTATACGATACGCTGCACAAGTCGTTGCAAGTTTCGTTTCAGTTTCGTTTTTTTTTGTTTTTTTGTCTCTAAATTTTGAGCTTGAAGTTCCTAGAGTGATACTTCAATTAATAACTGATATATCTAGATAGATGCAGCGAAAGTTCGCATTTTGAATGCAACTTTGTTGGTACCTGTGCAATTTTATTTGCCCAACTCACATTTTTCATGCTGACGCTAAGAGCTTTTACCTGCCATAGTGTTGAGCTCTTAAAATGACGCCCTCTACATAGAGAATTTATTTTGTGATTCCAGAATAGTAGAGCTACTGCTCTTGCAGATGTATAAAGATGGAAGATAGTGAAGACAGACAGAGAAAGAAAGAGTTATATGAAGCAAGTCCTAGGTAAAGCTCAGGGCGACATTTGGAGTTTCAGCATTTTAAGACAGGAATCGGTTCAATAAGCCTGAAGGTGGGGAGTCTCTGACCATTCTCTTATATCTAGACTATACTATACTATACAGCCATATTTAAATTCCTTGTTTTTTTAGCTAAACTTTAGTCTTTAAGGCAAGTTGAGTTAAAGAGTAATCAGTAATACTTTTTAGGAGCATGGAGGATAATGAAGACTGAATACAAAGGAAGAAAGAATAGTTAGTTTAGAGTTAGTTAACGGGGTAAACTTCAAGCTACTCTAACCCGACTCTGAATGCATTCATTTCGAATCTTATAAAGGTAAGATATTTCATTTCTATATCTAAGACCAAAACTTGTCTTGCACATGCAACAGAATCAGAGTGGATGACATTGCATTTGCATTTGCATAGCAAGTGTTCAAGTGTTCATGCCATGCATTGGGGTCGTTTTAGCAAATATCAAATGCTGCATATTTGCTAAAAGGACGCCACTAACAAATGGCCGGGTCAAATTTGATGCGTAAATGCCTCAAATGAGCCGTGAGCGAAAGTCAGGCAACAGAGCTGCTGGCAAATGCGAGTGCGAGTGAGAGGGCGAAAGCGAGTGCGAGTGCGAAAGTGAATGCAAAAATTCTAAATGGAACAACAATGAAATGTAAAAATCATTTCAAATTGCGTTCACAATAGCCATAAAGATGGGTGGGCGGGCCGACTCGGTCCATGCACTTTCATACGGTTCACTGCATTCGCTGACTGAGTCCAAATGACTTGGACTCGAGTGCCAACTATTGGTTTTTTATCGATAGCTCTGTCTCTTTCTCGCTCTATTTTCCTTTGCTTGGTGAGTTCAGCTTTAAGAGAGACTTGAAATATATTAGAAATCAACTTTATCGATTTCGAAGATATAATCAGTTATCGATTATTTTGAAATATATTGACTATGAAAATGAACACAAAATTCAATGATATGTAAGAAAAACTTGTAATTGCTATTCATTGATTTTTCATGGAAATAGAGGCATCATAAATGCTGATTTTATAGATATGACAAACGTTTTCGATAAGTAGAATCAAGTTTGGTTTGCATCGATATCATAAATATGTAATATGATCAATCAATGGAAAGGAATATCAAGATGAACAATAAATTGATGGTTTCTGAAAAATTCTATTTAAATTATTTTATAAAATGACCAAACGTTATCGATAACTTGATATATTGATAAAAATTCAAAAATCATCGATTGCCTGAGAAGTCATAGATTATTTGAAATATATTCTATTTCAATCAATTTGAGAAGTTGGCAAAAAGATATCGAGGATGAAAAACAAATTGATAATGCAAGTGATGTAAGAAACTGTAATCGATTGCTTGACAAAAATTCGATTATTACATAAATGGCAACAAGTTAAGAGTTTCTTATCGATAAGTGTTAAGAGTGACTCGATTATCATGGACACCAATACAATTTATACGACTATCATGTATAACTAATGATTTTAATGGTCTCTCTCGGGAGTTACTAGATAGGCTTTTTTCAATGTTCAGCATGGAAACAGTTGAGATGGATATCGACCCAGTATTTCTTGTACATTGTAAAAATTAATTATAATAGTTATTAAATATGCAATCGAGTCTCGATAATTTATACCCCGTCGAATCAGAAATAGCGATAAATCTGAAACAAATTTGATACCCTTGAAAAAAGTTCGTTCTCGATAATTATCGATAATTTGAACTACTATCTAAATCGAAAAAAAAGATCACGCTGCCATTTCGCATTATTGGGACTCCAATGTATAAGTAAGGAGAATAGTTAGAGCACTACTTACATAGCCAATTCATGCGCTCCGTGTACTCAACCTTGCGCTTGAGATCCTTGACCAGGGCGCGAAAGTCGTCGTCGTTGAAGTGACACTGGATGATCGTGTTGTTCAGCTGGAGTATGCTGTACTCATTGTTGCCGTTGTTCGAGGTGGCATCGGCAATGGCCTGCTGCATGGCATCGATCCGCCCCCCATTGAGGGCGTTTGAATTTGTCTCGATGTCGGTGGCGCTGGCCCGCAGCTTGTTGTTGGCCACGTTGGCCGTCAGGCTGACGTCGCCGTCGACATTGCTGCAGGACTTGCTCAATATGATGGTGGCGCGATTGGCGATCGAGTTCGCTGCCAGCAGATGCTCCCCGGCAGCGCCGCAGCTGCCCCGATGGAAGGGCAGCTTCCCAGCCGCACTGGCCGCCGCGACGGCTGTGCAGTTGTTGTTCTTCAGCGTGATGCAGTGCAGCTGATTCGTCAGAGCGGCCGCTGAGCAGTCGCTGGCGCGACGACGACGCGACGGATGGTCGCCGTCGAGCGAGGGCTGCAAATAGGCGCGCGTCTGCAGTTGCTGCTGCTGCTGCGGCTGACTAGATCCGCTGCCAGTGCACATGTTGCCGCCGCTGCTGCTGCTGGTGGGCAAGACAACAGCAATGTCGCTGGCAACAGTTGCTGCTGTCGTTGTTGCTGTCGCAGCGGCGGCGGCGGCAGCTGCGGCAGCCGCTGCTGCTGTGGCCGTTGCCGTTGCTGTCGCTGTGGCTGTGGCAGCAGCAGCTGCTGCTGCTGCTTCGACCATGTTCGACATGGACGTGGACATGGTCAGGCTGTGGCCGTTGCTGAAGTTGTTGATGCTGCTGTTGTTGCTGTTGTTGTTCTGGTTGCTGATGCTGTGGATGTTGCTGTTGCTGCTGCTGTTGTTGTTGTTGCTGCTACTGCTGCTGCTGCTGCTGCTATTGTTGTTGTTGTTGCTGTTATTGTTTATGTTGTTGTTGTTGTTATTATTATTGAGTGTATTCAAATTGTCGTTGCAGGCCAGCCGGCGCCGTATAACAGTCAACTTGCTGCGGCACTGATCCTGATCCTCGTAGAACTGTATGAGCAGCTCCTCCAGCAGCGCTATGGGCGTGGCCGCTGTCAAAAGCGAGGCCGACGCACTGGTCGAGGCGCCCGCCGACGCCGAAGCGGATGCAGTTGCTGTTGCTGTCACTGGGCCGCTGCCGGTGCTGCTGGCCGACGATTTGCGTCGCACTGTTGCTGTTGCTGTCGCTGTTGTCGCTGTCGCTGTCGCTGTCGTTGTCGTTGTCACCGTGGCTATGGCCAGCTCCTCTCGCTCTCGCTCGTGCTCTGTATCAAGCTCCGCGTCCAGCTGCAACGGTTGCTCCTCCAGCGGCTCAAAGCTGTTGCTGCTGCAGCTCTGGCTGCGACTAACAATTGCTGCTGCTGTCGTTGCCGCTGTCGTTGCTGCTGTTGTTGCCGCTGTTGTCGCTGCACCAACTGCCGCCGCTGCCGCCGCCAGCAGCAATGCACGCTCCCGTTCGCGTCCCGGATCGAATATCGAGTGCTTCAGCAATATCTCCTGCAGCTGGCGTCGCTGTCGATGCGCACTGTACGGATTGACCAGGCGAAAGTCGTTATAGTATTTGGCCAGGCAGCGCACTCGCGAGGCAATGTAGCCGATTTTACGCAGCAAACGCACATCGGCGTTTAGGGCAGCGGCGGCACGTTGCGTCTGCTGCAGCTGCAACTGTTGCTGCTGCGACTGCTGCGACTGCGGCTGCTGTTGCTGTCGTGCGCTGCAGAACAGCGCGGCATTTCCGCAGCTGCTGCTGCTGCTGCTGTTGCTGTTGTTGCTGTGTCCGCTGCTGTGGCTGTTGTTGCTGTTGCTCGTCGGCAATTGTGAGCCCTGCGCTGTTATACACTCTATATCTATTTCGGCATCGGCTGATGTATAGATATCGTCGTCTTCGTCGTCGTCGTCGTCGTCGCTGTTGTTGCAGCTGCCAGCGGCGCTTGTTTCTGTTGCTGCTCCTGCTCCTGCTGCTGTTGGTGCTGTTGCTGCTGCTGCTGCTGTGATTAGTGTTGCTGTTGTTGTGGTTGTTGTTGTTGTCGCCTCGCCCACGCCCACTTTGGCTATATCCGCTGTCGTTGTTACTGTTGTTGTTGTCGTTATTATTGTCAACGCCTCAAAGTTATCCTCCTCGTTCCCAGTTGCCGCCGCCGCCGCTGCCGTCGTCGTTGCTGTTGCTGCTGCTGCTGCTGCTGTTGTTGTTGCTGTTGCTGCGCTGCCACGTCGACTACTGCTGCTGCAGCTGCTGTCCTGGTACATTTATAGGCAAAAACTTTCGCGTACGCGCTGCTCTTGTTATTGTTGTTGTTGTTGTTGCTGTTGGACTTTTGTAATTTTCGCTGCTGCTTTTCGTCGCGTTTCCAGCGCGTTTTGCTAGCGTTTTTCGCGCGTTTATTTCCGCTTTTGATTGTTTCTGTTTCGGCTTTTTGTTTTTAATTTCTTTTTTTTCCCCTGTTTTGCATATGTTAAATGCGAAAAGCTAAAAAAAAATCCATCGAGCAAACGTAGCTTACATGTTTTTTTTTTGTTGTTTTATATTTTTTCCGTCTGTTTTGTTTTGGCGCCTTTTTATGTCCGTTGCAATTTGTTGCTTATGTTGCTGGCGTGTCTGTTGCTGAAAATTATGCAAATTGCCGTTGTTGCTGATGTTGCTGTTGCTGTTGCTGTGACTGCTGCTGTCGCTGTTGCTATCTACACCGCGTATCCTGTGACTTTTGCGCAAATCAATTCAGTGGAAAAGTTGCCGCCACTTCGCGCGCTTCTCATTTCCATTTGACGGGCTTCAACCACAGTAGTCACACACTAACGCATACTACTACACACGCACACACTCTACTCGCTGCCTCTCTCTCCCTCTCTCTTTCGCTTTAACTGCTTCTCTCTCCTGCTCTCGATTTCAGCTGATGTTGCTGCTGTCGCCGCCTTTGTTGTTGCCGTTGCTGTTGCTGCCGTGTTTTACATTTTATTGTATTTTAATTTGCATTGTTTTCAACTGTCGTCTGGCGACTATCTGCTTCTTCTTCTCTACTCCCCGCTGTGGCTGCTGCTGCTGCTGTTCCTTCGACTTCCGTTTCCGTTTTGAAACAATCACAAGTTCTTCGAGCTGCCCGCTGTCAGTTGTTAGTCCTTGTAGCTGCAATATATTGAAAGAAAAGCATAAATAGAATTATTAACATAGAAGTTGAAATATTAGATCAGCTGTAAAAGTAAAGTATACTGCAACAAATCGATATTTATCGATAGTGATGTATTTTGATCCATAAAAGAAGTACATAGGTGCTAAATCTGAATCATATCTACAACATTTAATTTAATTTTAAATATATATGTATATACCTCTCATTTTCTGTTTGTCATTCAAACTATAAATCGATATTTATCGATTTCGTAATAGTATTGAAAAGCAAAGTATTTCAGCTAAAAGTTTATCGAATTTGATTTAGGTTTGTCTTATAAAGTCTCCTTTCAAGTTTTGTTAAACTAAATCCTTGACAAATTGAGAGCAATCGAAAACATTTCCCATTAAATTGGATAATGCAAATTTGGTTGTCGACTCAAATCAAATCAATGAATTTGATGATATATAACCAATTCGAGGAATTGACAGCTTGATCAAATCTTTCAAGCGGCTGATGGGGTGGATGAATAAAAAAAGGAAACAGATTTATAAGAAAATTTCGTCAGATTCGAAAAAACTCGTTTTAAAAATCGAATTTTACTACACTGCAGGCACTTGTTGTTGTTGGTGTTGCTTTTTGTGAGTCGCTTTGTTTTCACTGTACTTTTTAAAGGCTGTGCATTGTGATAGGACAGCCGTTGAAGGCCTGCGATAGCTCGCTTGGCCGTATACTCGTATGTTGTCAAAGACAAAGGGCTGTTGCTGCTGCTGTTGCTGCTGCTGTTGCTGCTGCTGGGCAAAGGCTCTCGATAAACAACGGCAAATGCACAATGCCAACGCAGTTGGTCAACAGCAACAGCAACAGCAACAACAAATGTCGAGGACATTCGCAATGACAGCAAATGTCAAACATTTACTTCCCCATGGTGCATGGCTCCAGTCCTTAAAGTGCAACTCACATGTGTGTGTGCGTGTGCGTGTGCGTGTGTGTATAGGGTATAGCGGCGCTATATGACGTCCCTCGGTCATTCAGTCGAACATCTTTGTTGGCAGCTCGTGTGTCGGTCGACAAGACAAAGCGTCAAAGCTGAATGCCACATGGATGGTGAACGATGTTAACCACAGACACGCCCACAAATACACATTTACATGAGACTCCAGTTCGGGTACATACACGCTGCAAATGCTCTCTACTGTTAGCGAAACAGAAAGAGATGTCGAAAAGTTCGGAACTCTCTCTAAAGCAAAGCTGGACAAGCTCGGGTAGAATCAAGTGATTTGCCATAAATGCAAACAACTTGAAATATGTATATTCATAGCTTACAGCTGCAGCAACTCGTAAATACCCTGTATTATATATTTACAATCGAAACGTAAGCAATCCTTTTACATCTTCTCACGTGAATAGAACTCTAATCTATTTGAAGATATGGCGTGTATTCAGCTTCAATGAAACAGAACCGCTTACTGCAGATGAAAGTAGTTGGGAGGCTGGGAGCGAGACCCGGAAATGAAAGGCTTTGACTAGGCAACAGCTATCAATGATTAATTTAACTATGCTCAAAGTCAAAGGCATAGCTCGAATTCCTTTGCAGCTATAGAAAAATGCAGCAATTTTAATTAAATACAAAAAGTTTTTTCCCATTCACAATGGGAATTGGGGTGTGCCAGTAGAGGGCGGCCGTTGAGGTGGGCAATGGCTGCTCTTTAAAATATCGATAGATTTGCTGCTGTCTATGCAATCGTTGCTAGATTTATAAGATTTGAAATATCGAGAAACTTTTGTTACTTGAACTGTGCCTTAAGTTATCGATAACATTTTGTATTTCGATGTATTTGTTAGACTTGACTAGTCACATCAGTTCTATTCTCCAGTTCATCTTAAGTGATCGATAACTCTTTGAATTTGGGTATATTGAATACTCTATCAGCTCTCTAGTTCCTCCCTTAAGTATAGTCTCGATAATCGATAGTTTTCTGCAGTTTCCTAAACTATTTCCCGTAGTTATTTAGGCTTATCTCAGATAAATCCTTAGAAATTAGTATTTCGTATGCTCCATATACACATTCAATCAAATTGGATTGAAGTACTGGAGTAGAGAGCGCAGTTATAAGAGAGTCGCTCAAGATGGAGTTCAGGAAATCTTCCGTACCTTCAGCCAACTCCAAAGCAAATTCCAAACTATATAAGCTCTACATATATATTCATATATATTACGCAATCGAGAGGCTGGTTAATAGTTATTGCGGCAAGCGACTGTATGTTGTTCCTTTATTGAATCAATCACTCAATCAATCAATCAATCATTCATTAGAATCTGGCTCGTTATCACAATTCCTCAGGCACACACACACACACACACGCAGCTAGCGAAGTGAAGAAATATTTGGATTGGCTTCAAATTCCGAACGCATTGCGAGCAGTTAACGTGGCATGGCATTTGCAAAGGGGCTGACAGGGGCGGGGGGGCGTGGCTGTACCTAATACCCTAACTCGCAGACTGTCTCTGTCGCTCATGCAACACATATTTGTTGCTGGCATCCAAAGAACGCGCAACAAGGCGAGATAGAAGGAGAAAAAAAAAAAACAAGTAAAAGAAAAAAGTAAAAGAAAAACAAAATTTGTAGCAGGTGAGAGTAAAGAGACGGACAGACGGACAGACAGACAAACAGGCGGTTAGATAGACAGTTAGATAGGTAGGCATAGATGGATGAATGGCAGGATAGCACATAGAAAAGACAGAGAGTAGAGGCAATACAATATTTTTGCTGACATGTATACATATGTTGTTGTTGTTGTTGTTGCCTTTGTTGTTGTTGTTGTTGCTGAAAACTTGTTACATTTAATTATGGGCTATTTGATTAAAGCTCTTGAGCAAATACGCTCAAAATGGCACACACACAGACACACACACACACACACAGACAGAGACAGAGACAGAGCGACAGACACACAAAAGTGTCAATATTGAGCCGCAGGTGGCGCTGCTGTGCTGAACGTCGCTGTCATATGGCTGACAAAACGCAAACGCAAACAGAAACCGCTGAGAACGCAAATGCGGCTTCGTATCCAAAACATGCCTGAAATGGGCTCACACTCGGTGCCCCCCCC